GTTTGCATAACATGTTGTTTGTGTGCATTGCATTGTGTTCAATCGGGCGTTACGTTGAGCATAAGGCGGATTGGTCCACTTCATACTCAAAGTGATGAAAGTGAGCAAATCCCCTTTGTCTCCATTGCCTTTGATCGCTCATGATAAGGCCATTGTCTTAGTGTTTTGTTTGCATTGCATTTATTGAAATTTGTACAAGTTGGATCTTTGGCCATCATGCATTGCGATGCTTGATTGATGGTTTTGGATCCAATTATGCCTCTCCCTTGATGTTTTGAGATGATATGGAAGGGTATAGTACATACATGTTCTAGGGAGACCCTCTATTTTCTCTATTTTGTGCTCTATTGCAGCTTGGTGTCACAGCACCCCAGTGGCCGGCACCCTCTCACTGATGGCTGACACCCTTTCATCTGTGGCTGGCAGTGTTCATCCTCGGCCGGCAGGGGGGTCGGCAGCCACCATTCATGGCCGGCGGGCCACTGGTGCATTCCCCAGCACTGTTTTGGTAAGTTTCAGCAACAAGCATTGGAAGACACCTTGCAAATAGAGCCTCTAAAGAGCATCCAGAGAGCTTTTCGGGGCGTGAAACTGAGTGCATGCATGTTCATATTCCAAACAGAGCTGTGGCAGCATATTTTAAGGCTTTATTTGTTAAGTTTAATTGGCTTTGTAACTTAATTGATTTGTTTAATTAGTTGATTTGTAATAATTAGTTAAGTAGCTTAGCTTAGAATAGCTTAGCTTTCATTTGGACCCTCCGTCGAGAGGGCACAATGTTATAATAAGTGTGCGTGAGTGTGTGAATGTCTTCCAACCCCAGGTGTTTCTCCCTTTTATTTACCAGCTTTTGATGGTTAGTTTTAGGGCATGTTTCAATTAGCATACTTATGCTTTGCATGCGTGCATCATTCATTCGTATTGCATGCACCGGGCTCGGCGCATCATTCAAACTGCATTGTATTTCAATTCCTATTTGAATACATGTATCAAGTGTAGCATTCATATGCCATCTTAGATAGCCGAGCCTACTTTAGTTGCATTTTTGCATGCGTTGCAGTACGCATCTTGTATAGTTAGGATCATGTATGATTTCTAATTAGCTTCTATTTTGGCTCGGAGTACACTGTAAGTGTTTATGCTTTAGCATCCTTGCATGTGTGTAAGTGACTGCCATGATAGCATACTTGTCATGAGGCTAACTGCTTAAGTATTTAACTGCATGAATGCCTGTGGATGAAGGCTTCATTGCTTGAATTGGAACAATTCATCAAAATGTGTGTTTTAAAGCCCATTTGTTTGTGGCAAAATCATGTTTTAAGCCCACTTGAGGGTGACAAATCCACATTTTAGCCTACTTGAGGATAGCATCTTTCGAACCATTTTTGAAAAACAAACATGAGATCTTTTGTTCCAAATTGAGTGATTGAGTCTATACTTGTATGCTGTGCGCATCACATAGTAAGTTAGTTAATAAACCGGAATAAGAACACGTGTTTTCAAAAACATCATATCATGTTAGTAGAGGCCGATCTTTGATCGGGCGAGCGGGGGTGCTCATTTCAGGACCTTTCCCTCTCGTACCCAAGTTCCCGAGCCGAGGCAACTTTGGTGATGATGGACACGTGACCTTAGGCACGAGTCAGGGTTTCCTAAATTTTCCAAAATAAAACATTCAGGTGGTGACTCTGAAATCTGGAAAAGCAGTCCATGTTTGGCACTTTTGATTAAAATCGATTTTCCAAAACGATTTGCCGGATTTGGACTCTTTGGTGATTAATTAGATTTAGAACCGTGACAGGAGTCCGAATTGTAGCAGCTAGAACCCAATTCGCGCCCTCTCCGAAAAGGGGGGCGCGCGGAGCGAGTTTGGGCGGTCTACAACATGCATTCGATACACATTTGACACTTGATTTAGACTTGAATTAGGCTTAGAAAAGTCTTGGATAATCTAAGAAAATATTAAGAAACACTAGGTTAAGTTGGAACACTAGAACTGAATTTAGAAGCTTGTTAGTTTAATTGTTTTCAATGCTATGTTTATGCCTTGTGTAGGTCAAGCACATTGGAGGAGAAACTCTTGTTCAAGAGCCATTTTTTAGTAATTTAGTAACACTATGTTTGATAAATTATGTTTTCAATACAAAACTTGATTATGTTTATGAAGCGATGCTATGGTTTGTTATGAATGAACATCCTATATTCTTGTATCATGTATTATGATAGCATTCCCAATATTGGGGGAATAACCAATCAACTCATGTTGGCCGAGCTCACCTTGCCACCTTTGGGTGATCGTTTAGCCAATACCCAGGCCGGTTAACCACCTTGTTATCCTTAAAATGTTCATCACTATATAAATGTTTGCAAGTCAAATTTTGTACTATCATGTTCAAGCTAAGTTATGTTCAAGTTATGACTTTATTTATTTATTTCTTTTTTTGATAAATATTCAAGTTATGACTTTATGCTATGTTTTATAAACCTTGTCGGTGTTCATTCACCTACCGCCTTACTTTATTACTATTCACTAGGCAATGCCTCACCCGTTTCCCTTATATATCTACGTAGGTGATGAAGAGGTCGATTACGAGGAGAAGTTTGATTAGAAGCTGGTCTTGTATGCTTGTGCTGGACTTGTAAAGCTTTGTCATGAGTGTTGTGTTTTACTTTTGTCATATAGATCATGTAAATAGCAAGATAATAATCCATAGGAAATGTATGCTTTCATTTTATATCGTTATGCACTACTCGGAAGGGGTGTTTTAATTGGATACGATATAAGAAAATAATGATTTCCGCACTTGTAAACGGAATAAATTTGCCCCAATTATTATAAGAGTTCAGTTAGTTTTGAAAGTTAGGCCTTGGTAGTCTACGACTACTGCCCGATCATAACGCCATCTTGTTAGGGAGGGGTTGGGGTCGTGACAATAGTCCCCTGCACATGTGGCTACGAACCCCGCACGTGTGGCCTAGACTTCCAACAAGTTTTAGAAAAAGGTTTATTCTTTAAATCTTTGTTATGTACTTTTGTAGAACAACACTTATGTATAGTTTTGGATCTTATAAGAAAAGATTTGTATAAGCAAATAGTAGTGATGGAGAGTTTTTGTGTAAGTATGAATGAAGTAGTACTTTTTTTTGTATACATGTAATATTTTAAGAGGTTAAGGAAGAATGATTTATGTTTCATTTATAACCTATGCACTTGCTCTGAACGGACTTAATCAAGTTATGACTATTATAATGCTTCCGCATATGTGCCCTAAGGTACGATAATCCGTTACTTGTTTTGTCTTGTTAGGACTTTGGTAGTCAAGACTATTGGCTGGTTACAATCTATCTTGGTTGGGATAGAATGGGGCCATGACACATTTTACAAGATCACACATTACATTTAAAAACCAGTAAAACATAATTGGTTGTCCCAAAACGACACTTATGTAACTCTTCGACTCTTGTTTCTAAAATCCTTGTGTCAAAGCCAGATGAGTCAAGTTAGACACCAGCACCCCAAAAGAAAGGCAACTCTAATGGAAACTTTTTTCAATTTATTTAACAAAGATGTGTTTCATCACAAACTTATAGCTGGTAATAGAGACCAAAGAATATGACTAAAAACACACTAGACAAAATACCTGCATACTTCTTTGTCGGTACCACCCTTAACTCACGTTCACTATACGTAGTCCAACCAACTCTTAGAGCATTCTCAGCAGCTCCTGAATCAAAAAAATATACAAAGGCAAAATTGCATCCAAAGAATAGTTAATAAATATATCATATATTATTTTGAACCTCCAATATGCAACGAAACTGCGAAGACAGCTTAATCTATCCCACATGTTTAGGACTCGCAGTCATTGTTCTGCATGTTGACCCATTAGGCTTTCATGACCAAAAACATAACAATCACGTTCAGGAAGAAAAATAAAACTAAAGATAAAAGGCTTGGGAGGGAGAGAATGATGAGAGAGAAACACAAACCCTTTGCGTTGATCATCTGTACTGATAAATTTCACTTGTTTGACGTTGCCGCATGGAGAAAAAAAGGCTTTTTATGAAATTCTCTATCTGTGATTTATAAGTAGTCATGAAACTTTAAATGCACATGTAGAATACGCTTGCTATAAAGTCACGAGACACCAATTCGAGTTGAAAATGTTATGAAAGCAACATTACCTCTATGCCTGGAAGTCTTGTATCGAAATTTGTCACAGCTACAACTCCAGAAGGTACAATTTTGCATTTTAGTTCCTTTATTTTTTTACTGTAGTAATTAAAATCATGAAACTCAACAGCTTTTAGTAACTTCCATTTGAAGATAAAGACTTGCTATACTATACCTCGAAAACTCAAGCTCAATTGGACAGCCCAACAAATGACTTCCATTTAATTTGAGAGCCTGCAATAAGTACACATTGAAAGAAACATATTTATTTCGAAAATAACTTCATGAACCATTCACGTACCGACTCATTAGGGATGCGAGTTCTATACCAAGCACCTTGCAAGCGCATTCGTTTGTGAGCGGTAAGGTAGGCTGGGTAGATCTTTATCGCATCTCTTGGGTTAGTCCTTGGGCATAATGCATGGGGGTATGCAGTACCACTCGTGGAGCCGGCTTCTCGGGAGGATGACAACGCGCCCAGTCAGTGACAAATGATATCAGAGCTAGCCTAGGGCATTGTGATGGGGACGATATGTGAGACTTACACCAAGCACCTTCATCGTAGGGTCCGCACCAAGGGTGGTGTCTGCGCGGGGCGGGTTTCCCGTGGGTGGGGAAACGAACAAGCATGGAGGCAGGCAGAGTAATGTCCCCCTGACGAGGGCGTCAGGGACTGGTGGTGGTAGCATGTCACGTACCGACTTATTAGGGATGCGAGTTCTACACCAAGTACCTTGCAAGCGCATTAGTTTGTGAGCAGTAAGGTAGACAGGGTAGATCCCTATCGCATCTCCTGGGTTGGTCCTTGGGCATAATGCACGGGGTACGCAGTACCACTCGTGGAGTCGGCTTCTCAGGAGGATGACATGGTTAATGAAGTTATTTCTGAAATAAATATGTTTCTTTCATTATGTGTACTTATTGCAGGCTCTCAAATTAAACGGGAGTCATTTGTTGGGCTTTCCAGTTGAGCTTGAGTTTTCGAGATATAGTATATCAAGTCTTTTATCTTCAAATGGAAGTTATTGAAAACGGTTGAGTTTCATGATTTTAATTACTACAGTAAAAAGATAAAGGAATTAAAACGCAAAACTGTACCTTCTTGAGTTGTACCTGTGACAAATTTCGATACAAGACTTCCAAACATAGAGGTAAGGTTGCTTTCAGAACATTTTCAACTCGAATTGGTGTCTCGTGACTTTATAGCAAGCGTATTCTACATGTGCACTTAAAGTTTCATGACTATTTATAAATCACAGACAGAGAATTTCATAAAAAGTCTTTTCTCTCCATGCGGCAACGTCAAACAAGTGAAATTTATCAGTACAGATGATCAACGCAAAGGGTTTGCCTTTCTCTCTCATCATTCTCCCCCTCCCAAGCCTTCTATCTTTAGTTTTATTTTTCTTCCTGAATGTGATTGTTATGTTTTTGGTCATGAAAGCCTAATGGGTCAACATGCAGAACAATGACTGCGGGTTCCAAACATATGGGATGGATTAAGCTGTCTTCGTAGTTTTGTTGCATATTGGAGGTTTAGAATAATATACGATATATTTATTAACTATTCTTTGGATGTAATTTTGCCTTTGTATATTTTTTTGATGCAGGAGCTGCTGAGAATGCTCTAAGAGTTGGTTGGACTACATATGGTGAACGTGAGTTAAGTGTGGTACCGACAAAGAAGTATGCAGGTATTTTGTCTTGTGTGTTTTTAGCCATATCCTTCGGTCTCTATTACCAGCTATAAGTTTGTGATGAAACATATCTTTGTTAAATAAATTGAAAAAAATTCCAATTAGAGTTGTCTTTTTTTTGGGTGCTGGTGTCTAACTTGACTCATCTGGCTTTGACACAAGGATTTTAGAAACAAGAGTCGAAGAGTTACATAAGTGTCGTTTTGGGACAACCAATTATGTTTTACTGGTTTTTAAATGTAATGTGTGATCTTGTAAAATGTGTCATGGCCCCATTCTATCCCAACCAGGATAGATTGTGACCAGCCAATAGTCTTGACTACCAAAGTCCTAACAAGACAAAACAAGTAACGGATTATAGTACCTTAGGGCACATATGCGGAAGCGTTATAATAGTCATAACTTGATTAAGTCCGTTCAGAGCAAGTGCATAGGTTATAAATGAAACATAAATCATTCTTCCTTAACCTTTTAAAATATTACATGTATACAAAGCTTGCAAAAAAAGTACTACTTCATTCATACTTACACAAAAACTCTCCATCACTACTATTTGCTTATACAAATCTTTTCTTATAAGATCCAAAACTATACATAAGTGTTGTTCTATAAAAGTACATAACAAAGATTTAAAACATAAACCTTTTTCTAAAACTTGTTGGAAGTCTAGGCCACACGTGCGGGGTTCGTAGCCACATGTGCAGGGGACTATTGTCATGATCCCAACCCCTCCCTAACAAGATGGCGTTGTGACCGGGTAGTAGTCATAGACTACCAAGGCCTAACTTTCAAAACTAACTGAACTCTTATAATAATTGGGGCAAATTTATTCCGTTTACAAGTGCGGAAACCATTATTTTCTTATGTCGTATCCAATTAAAACATCCCTTCCGAGTAGTGCATAACGATATGAAATGAAAGCATACATTTCCTATGGATTATTATCTTGCTATTTACATGATCTATATGACAAAAGTAAAACACAACACTCATGACAAAGCTTTACAAGTCCAGCACAAGCATACAAGACCAGCTTCTAATCAAACTTCTCCTCGTAATCGATCGCTTCATCACCTACGTAGATATATAAGGGAAACGGGTGAGGCATTGCCTAGTGAATAGTAATAAAGTAAGGCGGTAGGTGAATGAACACCGACAAGGTTTATAAAACATAACATATAGTCATAACTTGAATATTTATCAAAAATAAATAAATAAATAAATAAAATCATAACTTGAACATAACTTAGCTTGAACATGATAGTACAAAACTTGGCTTACACACAGAGTCACAGCAAAATGAGAGTTTCGTACTCTCAACCCACATTTCTTTGCCTTTAGTTAGGCGGCATCACCACATCTTTTCCTGCACAAAAATCCCATAGGGTGAGCATAAAACCCAGTAAGAAATTTTTAACAAAGTATATACATTTTATACAAGTCTCAAGAGATGAAATGCACATGTCATGCTATGCTCCTTTGAAAGAAAATCACATCTTCATCTTTGAAAACCCTCATGCTCCATGATATCATGCAATTTCAATTCTTCAAAACTTAACAATTCATTTCAAGAGCGGTAAATATGACTCTGGTAATCCCTAGGTCAGTGTCTCCAAGTAGACTATACAAGTACTACCAATTTGTCATTTTTACCGGTATTAACCGGAAGGCTTGACACCTATCTGCGCGGGTTTTCGGTCTTTCACCCCGGATTCTCAGGCCAACTTATTGAATATCATCTACACCACCTATCAAGACTCACCAACGTATTTACCCCAAAATCGTTCCATGAAAACTTGTTTATCAACATTCTTTTCTCAATGCAAGTTTTTAAATTAACTTTCAAAGTTTAATGTAATCAAATGAATTGATATGCCAATAATACAAGATGAATATAAATACTTTTATTCCAATTCATCATCTAAGAAATAACATAATTTCCTCTTTTCAAGTATCCTTAACAATTAGTCATTTCAAGACTATTTCAAACTTTTGAATTATAATTTTAAAAAATGAACAATAATTCTCAAATTCCCTGAAATTCATCATTAAACATCCATTTATTGTGACACGCAAAATAAATATAACAATATCATTCATAGATTTTCAGTCTCTTAAAAAAAAATTCCAAATTCTAGGTTTTTGCACCAAAACTATATAACTCGAATCTTTTAAAAGAAAACTTTCCAAAATCATGTTTTCTTCAATCAACGAAGATCAAAACCCATAAGATCATTTTAAAAGAACAAGAGACAAACCCACTTTCAAAATCGCTCAACTTCTTGAATCAACAATCAATTTTCAAAGTTATCGAAAGATGATTTCGAAAATCATATAGATTTTGCAAAAACATATATATAACTCTAAGAAAATCTCTACCTCAAGTTTTGAAGAAGAAATGAGATAAAACCTCCAAAATCGACTTTGTCAAATCTCGATCTTCACTGTACACAACGAAGCCCTCGAGAAGTTAACTAGTTTTGATGAAGAAACTATGGCAGAACTCTAATGGATCTTGAGAAATCAAGGTTTTGATCTAATTTGGCGTAGGGAAATGTAGAGAGAAGGGAGAGGAAAGGGTTTTTAGAGAGAGAGAGAGAGACCTAACAAGAGTGAGATACACTCAGCCTAAAGAGATGAAAAGACTAAAATTTCGGACTCACCTACCATCGCACTTGCACTTTCGCACCTGCATTTATTGCAGTAGCCAAACAAGCCCTCCCCTGTTTTTCGCATGTGCGGCTCAAGCAATATCAAATGCATTTTGCATTTTTGCTTTGGGAGTGTTGCCCCTTGACCCCGCCAGGGCGTTGCCCTCGAACCCGCCAAGGGACGTTGCCCCCTGGACCCCCTCAAGCTGACCAGGCAGCTCGATCCCTGACCTTGTCACGCCCCCAAAATAATAATATTAAACCCATCAATATAAACATACATTTATATACAAAAGATCCACATTCCCTCAAATAATCAGAGTACTTCATTACAAAAGTATTACACGTTAACAACAAAAGTAAATGCCCTGCGGGCTTACAGCTTTCCAAGTTATCACTTGGTTACAAAAGAGAGTATTAACTCGGTTACACATTAAGCCCTTGGCTTGAAATTACATGTAATACATCAAAAGGAAAATAAGGCAACAAAAGTATGTCTTGTCCCTAGCCTCCCAAGCTATGTTCGTAGAGGCGGCATGCTACCTGTACCTGAAAATGATGTTCCCATATAGGGTGAGCCACAGCCCAGCAGAGATATACTAAACCAACTATGAACAATGATTAAAAGATTAGCAACTGATAGGTGGTCGATACTTACACTTCCATTTACATCTTATTTCAATTCCATGACAACCAAACCTATGTTACAATTCACCTTTCATTTCTTATTCAACTTTGAGTTTGAAAACGGGGTTCAGTACTCTGGCCAAAACATTTTGATGAGATTATAGTTCATCACTAGAACATTTTCAAAATTCACGGTGGATACACATTTTGGTGTTGTATCAATAACACATAAACTACTTCCATACTTCACAAACGATGATGATATACATTTTAATGCTATATCAAATCAAACAGACTTTTCAATAGATAAGCATATGAGCTATATCAATACCACAACAGATAAGCATATCGGACAAGAACCACTGGCATGCCCCCTCTGTCCACACCTGGAACAACTACAAACTTCCCCAACTGGGGCTTGGGAACTCGACTCTACTGAGGCCCTCGCAATCTG